ATAGTGCCAGCTTTATGCTGAGAAACCTGTAGAATATACACAATTTATTAAAATAAGAAGTAGCTCAAGGTATTTCTTTGTTAATGAGGTGTTATCAGGTTGCGTGACGTTTTAAAATTTAAACCAACATAAACGAAAAATAATATTCGAAAAGAACAAGCCAAAATTAGTAAAAGAGGGTCAATTATCCTCCGAAGAGGCTCAATTATCCTCCGAAGAGGCTCAATTATCCTCCAAAGAGGCTCAATCATCCTCCGAAGAGGCTTTTGCTTTCCCAATTAAGGATTTTTTATCTGCATACAAAGCTCATTGTCTTTGTTCACTCACTTTCGGACGGACGGACACAACTCGATGACATAGTGGCTTCGCCTCTTCGAGGCAGTAGCCGCAAAAATCCATAACGTTAGAAAGAAAGTCACAATTTGATTCATACTCAATAAGGGCACTGTCTATGCCGTATCTATATTATAGCTACTAAGAATATTGAATCCACTAAATTAAAGTCCCCATTTTAAGGGTATAAAGTTGACACGCTAGGAAATAATAGTAAAAGTCCATGAAAATATTCATCGCACAATATTTGAAAAAAGCTCTCATAATTTTTTTTCATATTGCAATATGTTGGGTGCCTTGATGAATACTATCAACTGATGCACGTCGCTTTGAAAGTTTAGGTCTAGTTTTCGAGAGAGAAAAAGCGGGAAAACGATTTCTATGTTGTCATCATTACGTCATAATGAAAAGGCCGCTTTAAACTAATTTATCATTTTCGAACTCTTTAATCCTTTCCTGACATTGTGTGAAAAGCGCTTGCAGATCGAGTTATTCAAGACGAAGATGTAGCCATTTCAATGCGGCTAGGTGTGCCAGACCAAACCTACCCAGAGCCAACTAATTCAGAGCGAAGTTTGGACAATTGTTTTCTCGCTCTCTTCGCAAAACTAGTGCATCAATTTAACTGTAGTTTTCATATAAAGTGCTTTATTAACTTTCAACTTGAAAAAAAGTGTTTGGCAAAGGAAATTCGCCTAAAATCGGTAAAAATGTATCACATGGCTACTGAATTTAACTATTATGTAAGGCGAAATTCGATTCAATTTGATTTTAAAGAATTTTTGTTTGTTTGTTTCAGATGAAGCTGGTTCAAGTGCTTTTTGTCCTGTTTCTTTTGACGCAGGGCACTGCGACATTCAGAAGCGATGCAATAGCTCCTAGCAGAAATTCTACTTTATTATCTAGTGAGTAGGCAATATCTATCCGTTAGTAATGCGAGAGAGAAAAAGGGAAGCTTTTGACATGTTGCTCCATTTACAATTAATTGCAGCTGTTCTTGCTGGTGAGCTAGTAGGCAACATCACTCTGAAGCCTTCTCAAGGACCATTTGTGATAGATAAAGACTTATTAGTCCCTGAAGGCTCTCAATTGACTTTAAAACCGGGAGTGCAGTTGCTCTTTCGTCCTGAGACCGGAATACAAATCAATGGCTCCTTGGTTGCAGAAGGGAGCCCGGAAAACAAGATTTCGTTTTCATCATTTCCTTACCCTAATGCAAGCTCATACGCTAGCTACTACTATGGCAATGGAATACGCCTTGTTGATGGAAATAATTACACTGAAGGACGGCTGGAAATATTGATGAACAATAGATGGGGGGTTATCTGTGCAGATCACTGGACTGAAAAGAATACTGATGTTGCATGCAGACATTTGGGTTTCTTAGGAGGGAAGAGACATTTCGAACGTCCTTTTGATCGAACAAAGCTCTATCTCATTGATTATTTCGGATGCAAAGGTGATGAAAACAACCTATGGAACTGCGACTACAGAAGTACATGGGTAAACTGCCGTAAGTGTTTCTAACATTCATTGTTTTAATAGTTGAAGCTTTCACGTGAACTTTTAAAAGTAACACTTTAAAGCATTTTCACTGACGGTCGGCATGTAACCAACAGTTATAAACGGCGCAGTGTACACATAATTTTTATCCTTGTTTACTTTGTTTATAGGCCAAGCTAATATTATACGTAATATTTTTGGCCGGCTTTTGAATATTATAAAAAATATATTTGGTATTGGGCTCCGCCGCTTCGCGACTCCGCCGAATATACTCCAACGCCGTCAATATTTCGTGGGATTATCGTTTTAAAATCGTAATTAGTTTTGTATCGCGATTCTAAAGGACTTTTAAAACAAAAAATGAAAAAAAAAACTGACCGATTTTTTTTKATTAAAAGCGAAATTCTCTTTATTAGCGCGCCCTATGGCGCAAGCAACCAGCGTAAAAATTTTCATCGCGCGTTATCCAATCAGAAAGCTTAAATTTTAAACGACAACACCACAAAATGTTTTAGTCTCAAAAACATAAGGTACTATTTAATGAATCGCGATAGTCTTTATTTATCATCACAAAAGAGCGAGAAATTCCAATCTGGAGAGAAACTAAAACAGAAGGTGTCATGCTGTAAACAGCTCAAGTAGATTAACGCATGTAGATTTTTCAGAAAAGTCTGGCTGCTTGACTAACTCTATTTTGTACCTTTTTAACTTTTTGTTCAGCCCAATATCCCATTGGTATTGAATGCGTGGGCTTGCAAAGCTTTCTCAAGGAAAAAGTAAAATGGCGGGGGATGACCTTCATGATGCAGAGTCACGGAGTACTATCAATACTGAAGCATGTTACCATTGAAGACGCAGTTTTTGCTTTGAATGTCACACACCAAGCCCCGGAAATAAGCAGCGTCACTATCACGAACTCCTTCCACGGTATCCAAGTAAGCCACTTGATCGAGCAAAGCAACATTGAACTCACTGACATTTTGGTTCATGATAATTACCTTACTGGCATGAAGATTATGAGCTTAAAGTCAGAAGTCAGAATTCGTAATTCGTCCTTCACGACGACATCTTTTGGAGATGGGTTTTCCTTTGAAGATGAGACAGTGCCTATTGATTTCTGTACTTGGGTCCAAAACTCGACACTGGTGTACCCCTTAGTGTTTAGTGCGTCGTCTGATGGCAACGATGGCTATTGCTCTAAGGTTTGTTCTAAAATATTATTTGACATTTCTGATTTTTTATATAATCTTTAAGAACCAATGGCCATCTAAGTCAGTCGGTTCATAGATAATCTTCCAGAATTTTCTTTTTTAATCAATATTGTTCTGACTTGTGGTCCCGGAAATTTTAGAATCGAAGAATAGAATAGAATCTATAATTAGTCTAGAATCGTATAGTTTTTTTCTGCCTCCTCTGGGTCCTTACCCCGCCGCGGGGAATGGCAATAAAAGGCAATTTCCAAGGCATTTTCCAAAAAAAGAGGGGGGGGCATAAACTTAGATGGCACAGGGCGACATAAGGCGATCTAAGGCGATCTAAGTAGTAAAAGAATGGTCTATACTAAGGCAGAGAAAGTGGAACTTAGGCGATGTTAGGTGATCTAACGCGAGATAAGAACCCACAGTAGGCCTAGTTTTCTTTCACATACAAAGTGTAGGTTGATTCCAAGTTTAGTAGGCCACTTGCTCTAAATCCCTACCCGGAGAGTCAAAACAACCAAAATTAACGTCCAAAAATATTTCAATCCTCCAAAGTTTAGCAGAAGTTTTTTGCATACTATAGATGCTGTTTACAACGCACATGAACCCTTCCGCAATACTTTTAGTACTGGTTCTACATGAAGTAAATAGTTGAATGGTAAAATATTTCTTGATTTGAGTTATGCGTTTTTAAGTAATAAAAGGTTAATACTTCCAATAAGTTGTGACAGCTATTAAGACTTCATTAAATATACAAAATTGAACTGGTTCACACAAAAAATATTTTTAAAAAGTCATTATTTTACTCATGGTTTACATGAAAGTTATTTTCTCGTAATTATAATGGTAGCATTTAGTATTACTAGTTACAACAAATACACTGAAATACCCTACCTGACATCAGTCTTGTTTCTCTAAAGGTCCCCAAGCATTACGATTCATTGCATTGAAAACTAACGCATTGTATGTAGTAACATTGATTTGTTTTTAAAAACAGGAGATCTATCTAAACGACAGTTCCAATCTCTCCATACACTACCGTAGCATAAAGGGCACATCATTTACATTTCAAGTTTCTGAAAAAGATGCTCAGGGGAACTGGACACTAATATCAACAGCAAACGAAAACGACAATRGAAAACTCCACAGTCCYTCAACGACAACCCATGGCAATGCGTTGAAGATAGAGTTTAGAAGCAAACAAGGAACCAGCAAGGTTGAATTTGTCATCATTGACGAGAAAGGTAACTGTTCAAGTATTCGGGAGGAAATCTGAATGTTCATATTTCGCACCAATTTTGAATTGCATTCTATTGCATTAAAGCATTTTATATTTATAAAACCGACTGAGAATTGAAGTTAAAACCATACGATGGTGATGAACGCGTACCGTTAAAGTGCCAGGCATTAGCATATGACATGGAAAAACCTTTACGACTTCAAGAAGGCGCACTCAAACTCCCCCCCCCCACCCATGGTTATTCAACATCTCACCCCATAAAAGGGTGATAGGCACTTTAACAAGTTTCTTGAAGTCGTAATGGAAAATGGAATTACAAGTTCTTTGATTTGATTTGATTTCATTCCTTGTATATTTCACAGAAGGTTATTGTGGAGGAATTACCGAAAGTAGTTGTAAGCAGAAAATATGCAGCTTACTCTTTGCTCCCCACAAATGCTTGCCCATAACTTTGTTGTCAAAATGTAAATTATGAWTTGCAAAAAAATGTTGTGTTTGAACGCAGACAATGCATTGTACGATTTATTGAGTTTACTAATACATTTAATGACATACGTTTTGTTCGAGAGCTAGCGGTCAAATATTCACCATTCCATATGCCACCCGGTTAGCTCAGTTGGTAAGAGCGTCGGTCTGTTGTGCAGGAGGTCGTGGTT